AAATTATTTTTACTTACAAAATACCAACCAAAAACCGTGTTGCCACAAAAGCCCAAAAGCTCGGTATAAACATTGAAACAATTGAGAATACGTTTCCAGTTAAGGAGGCGTATATAAGTATAAGACGGCGCCCAACTGTATCGCTCAAATAACCCCAAAAATATGAGGACAATAATATGCCTGAAATTTAAAATTTATTATTTATTTAAGTAAATAATCAAATACACATTTATAATATTTAATTATTAAGGAATTAACAATTTAAATTAGTTTAAATATTTTAAAAACCAGAGCAAACATCTAAGTTGTAGAAATTGTTATAATTTATTTTTAAAATACCTTTTTGAGAAACTGCGTATCTACAAAGTTAAGATAACTCACTTTTAGTATAAATGCATGAATACGTCATTTATTATATACTTAGAGCAATGTATATATAACGCATTATAAACAATAAAATATTAATTAAAATATTTGTTTGCAGTTTATATAAAACAGATAACATTTGCGACCAGATATGCGATTATTTGCATAATTTTTAATAAATTAAATTAAATTAATTTAGGTTGATTTAGTTTAATCAGTAACAAGCAGATTGATATATATCACTTCTTTAATTAAATTATTAGTAAAATTTATTTTAATATTAAAAATTAATAATATAAATTAATTGACATTATTGGTTTATCTCATAAGATTGACGTTCTGCAATTTCTTAATATTGAAGATACTGAGTGTAGTCTAATGGCATAGTATTTTATTAATTACATATTTTTCAGAAAAACTATATCTCTGTATACTAATTATTAAAGATCTATTATTCATAAGTATGAGAAAACAAAACTAGAAATGTACAAAACATTGATTCGCCCAGTAGTAACATATGCCTGTAAGACATGAAGATAAACTGAAATTGAAACTGAAGCAAGTAAGAAAACGGGATGGGTTAGACATCTGATAAGAATGCCGGATATGAGAGTACCGCTTAATATTTATGAGAACGAAATAAGAACTAGCAGAAGAAGAGGACGACCAAGAAAACAATGGAAAGATAGTGGTCAGCAGAATTCAGAAGAAATGAACTTAAGAAATTGGAAAACAAAAGCAAAAAACAGAGAAGAATGGAAGGATGTTGTTAGACAAGTTTAGGTCCTACATGAATTGTATAGTCATGGATGATGATGATTCATAAGTATGCATGACTTTAAATAAAATCTAATTTATATAGATAATATATATAAAATAAAAGTACGTAAAAATTATCTGATTAATTTTGCTAAAATTTTTTTAAAATATTATTATACTAGGAAGATAACGAGTAGGCTATTTAGTTCTAACAGATAAGCAGCCGTTGCTCTCAAGAAATATAAAATGTGTAGTCAAAAATTTGTTCTTTATCAAAATGTTTCGAAAAAAAGGATCCAGAACAAAACTCTGCAATTTTTATTGAACTTCAGCTTTTTATTATTTAGATTCATTATAAAGTATACAGCGATTAGAAATATTAATGAAGATGTTTTCAGTTTAATTTTTATATCATTTGAAGGAAAATAAAAATTATAAAATAAAATAAATATTTCAAACTTGAACTATAAATATTAATTTTATTCAATTAATTGAACATCAATTTTTTGATAAAAAAAAAAGTAGTTTTTACTGATATCAAAATAAAATGGCACCAAAAAGAAAAAATAGTCATTAGAATGCTTACAATAGTACCTGCAATGATATAAGACTAAATGATATATAAAATAAAATGAACTAAAATGCCAGAACAACCATAGGTTGCAACTAAAACAAATAAAACAATTAATAAAGATTCTTCGGAAGTTGATTTCTAGTAGAACCAAGCAATACATATGTGCTATATATATATTAACTTAAAATACAGAAACCAAATCATTAATATAAGAGGCACTGACGTCACGTCTTCTAATAAACCGCAACGGAAAGAATATATGTAGTTATTTGATAATTGCAAGACTTCCCATTTTAAAACATCTAAGGATTTTTTAATAGTTTAAAATACTTCCAAGACTTGTGAGATTTGTATGGAAAAACAATAAAACTAACAACCTATTTTGATGCTGAGAATCGTCGAAATAACATAAGTTTCTACCTATTTAGGTTATTACGATGAAACGATGGATTTGGTTATTTGATGAGAAGCTGAAATGGGCTCTGCTTAAACTTTATTAAGTTAACTTATTACCTTTCTTGCATTTTTTTAATAAATATCTACTCGAACCTAGTGCGTAATGAGATCTACATTAAATAAAGAATAAATTTAAAGGGTATTTGCATATGTATAAAAGATACATGTATCCATATAAAACACTCCTAGCTTTAAAAATCAATTTCGAAAACATATCTTATTTTTAAAAATTATATACAAATATTATTAATAATAAAGTTGTCAAGGGCACAACCCTTTCTTTTATAAAACCGCATTGACATCAGTTTATTTTAATTAATTTTTTAATTAGTTAAGCTGAAACGTAGTTGAAGTAAATCATATGCAAATATGTGTTCCAAACAGCTAAGATATTTTATTAAGCACTGATTAAAATTTGCATATCACTCAAATATATGCCATATTAAATATATTGCTCTGCTTACATATTAAATGTGGCATAGTGCTATACTCGACATCAATGTTAACAAAATAATAATATTTATCTAATAATTTTAAATATCTTATATTAAAATAAATTGTATTAATAAAACGTACCGATAAAGCAGGCCGCACTTAATATGGCCTTTTGAACGGAATTCGTTTCGAAATCACACTGAGAAGCGATTGTGAGTATGCTCATCCCCATCGTTTCATTAATGACCATCATTAAAAGCAACCCACATGTGAATAAAACGATCCATTGTGTTGAACCGAATCCTTAAAAAAATTATTATTTTTCGTTTTTATTTAATATTAAATGATTCATTTTTTATAATTTTAATGCCAACTTTCGTGTAAGTACCAATTAAATTTAAGATCTCCTCATATTCATAACGTTTTTCGTTATCCTTCGAATTTTCCGAAATTTTATTTTGTAACTTTCTATCAATATTAACCGATATTGTTTCTAATATATCTTTCGTTGCCATTTTCTAGACACGCTCACTTGTTTACTTATATATAAATTTGATGTGATTTGAATTTAATTTTTTAATTAAAACTAGAATTATAGGTTGCACTGTTTTCCGTAAGACACACCATTCCAATGCCCTGAACAAATTAAAACTGAACTATAAAATACAACTTATGAAATTAGATGTTTTCCCCGTTCCAAGTGCCAACACTTAGAACTTGTCGAACGCGGCGAGTGTAGAAGACTGATATTGATACTAGTGCAAGCTGACAGAGCACAGCCACACTAAGATAGATATTATTTTTATCGAAATTATCAATTAAAATGGATTCTTCGTATGTCAAACGTTAACACTTTATCTTAACGCATTTATGTTTGCATACTACAATAAAAATGTACGTTAATTGGAGAGAGCATATTCAGTTAGTAGATTGCTTAGTACGAAAGCGAGATCTACAATGTAAGGTAAGCACTTTCAATGGAAAAATTATAATATTTAAATGAATCATACCACTTTTAATAATTGACATGGAAAGAATAATATTATAAAATAAATATGTAGTAAATATTATGCAAAATATGAGATTAAGTGAGTTCTTAATACCTAACATATAGTTATATATATTTTAAATTAAATGTATTCTATTTACCAATGGTTGGTTGGTTGCAATGGCAAGCCATTAGATGACTTCCACTACCATATTCCTCGCAAGAAACCTAGTATACAAAAGTAGAGACTAAATTCATCCCTCCGAATTAGATCATTTAATAAGTATTTCGTCTTAACCGCTAAACAATATGATAAAATATCATAGAAGTATCATTCTGAGAACCTATATCTTCTGAACGTCTAAGCTGGGCATTCACATTCTATTTACTAATAGAATAAAAGTTATATTTTAACAATTTTATTTATTTAAAGACTTATTATTCTTCTTAATCTTATTCTACTAACTCGAAAACTATTGTAAAACATAGTTTATCAACATTTAGATACAAATGAATAGATGGACGATGCATAAACTCACCTTGTCGCAGTGATATATATGTTTTATGGTATAGGTATCCTTTGTTGTATTTCTAACAACTAGCAAATCCAATACATCTTCTATTCACAAAGTTATAAATAATATACGCATAAAAAACCAATGGAAGATATCATGAAAGCTTGATATGAATTAAATATACATTACTATATTCACTAAATTAAATTAAATACAAAATAAAAACTGTTATTCACTTATATAATTATTTATAAAGAAGTGTTGAGACCGAAGAAGGTCTAACTTTTATTCAGTCTCCAATAGCTATTTCGAACTATTGAATCAAATGGTATTTTATGTCCCTTCAAGACACACTCACGAATCCCCTCATATCAAGTCCCAATTGAAACTCAAAACCAAATCTAATAATATTTCTTATGGCATATTCATTAGAGCCGAAAGATATCATCTGTTTCATTGAATTTAATTAATAATAAATTATGAACAGAAGAGTAGACAACATTTTTTGATTGGATATAGAGATACAACACACACAATTGAAATATCATTTTTTATATCAGGGAAGTGATATAAACATAAATACAGAAGTAAGCAAATATTTATCCTTAATAAAATAAATAAAAATAAAACACAATTTGCAACAATCGATTTGTTACAATTACAAAAATTAATTACTAACAATAGTTATAACATCAGACTTAATACATAGAAACAAATCAGAGGTATCTAGGTTAATATCTGTCTTTACAGGGCACTAGACCATACGACGGCATGGAGCTAGACTTGGCCTACCATGTAGTATCTCCTGCACTACGTGTCTACCAGCTATCGAAGAAAGGACACCAGAACACCTGATGTGTCTATAACCAGGTTTGGCCAGAACTAGGCTTAAGATTCTAGAGGCCCCCTTCTTCAACACACTTACCGACATCTCTAGGATTAGCATTGACCAGATTCTTGCCTTTATAAATGTCTCTGGCTGGTTCTAGCTTGACTTTCAAATTTTGTGGATTCAAAACGGCTTTTTTAGGTAATTGAGAAGGACTTGTTTCTCCCTCCACCACAACTAACTAACTATAATTAGAACACTTTAACTTATTTTGATAATAAATTAAAAGCCAATAAAATTCTAATCAACACAATCTAATTAATTCTATTAAAATATATTTGCATTACAAATGGTATTAACATTACAAATATACATTGTTATAACATGTTTCGTGCAAAGTTATATATATATATATATATATATATATATATATATATATTAGTTTATAAATGTAATATGCAAAATTCAATAATACATTATAAGACTAAAATAATGTTAGTTAATTAATTTAATTTAATTTAATTAATTTAATTTATAACTGTAATATGCAAAATTCAATAATACATTATAAGACTAAAATTATGTTAAAAACTATTATCATGAAATAATTGTTCTAAATATAAATAATTATTAATACCACAAACTTCATATAACAAAATTATATATATTTATAACATTAAGGGCTCCTAAAAATAAATTAAATGAATTGTATTCAATTAAAAGTTTAAATTTTTTATAAAATAAACTGCCTTATTTCCATTTTAGCAATTTGTAATTATGTGAATAATTAAGATGTTTTATTCTCTTTGTAGCTACAGATATTCTATTACAGTCACGAATAGTGAATTTATCGGGACACCTAATGAGTTTTAAGAATATACAAATTTTCACAACTTAATATTGATAAAAACTTAATTCACAGCTAGTTTGTAGCTTAAGTTTTTATTGATATTATATGGTGATTGTTAAAACTGATACCTTCGGAAAGATTAAACAATCTTGCCTAACGGATTAGGTATTGCCTTTTATAAAATGAGGTATTAAATTTACTAAACGCGAATATCCTGCGAGCTTTAAGATGTTCAGCAGCAAAACTGTACTAAATAAAACTATTGATAAACCAAACAATATCCCTTGGCTAAAAACTTCAGATCTCATTTGATTCAATGAAGATCTGATGGGTGTGTCGGGTAAGTTTTCGATGTTCACCAATCGACAAGATTAAAGAATGTTTCACAGATTATACGAATTTCTGTATATTTTAATCCCATTTTTAAAAGGTTATTCTCAACAGGAACGCGTCCAGTTAAAAAACCAGTGATTAATATGAGTTCAACCCTATTTGAATTGTTTTTACTGTTGACCAAATGCAATGTTGAGGATTATCTTAAACCTTTAATATCGAAATGTGACTTCACAATTTGTGATTTTTGATTTTATTGCTTCAAAGATAGATTTGGATCCTATAAAATGAGTTACATCAACTTATTTCGCAATCTGTTAACTGTTACAGTCGAATCTCTCATGACCTGATATTCAGGCATACAACCAGTTGTTTATACTAGTCAACGCACATATAAAATTTTTGCAGCTAAGAACACATAACACACATTTTATATTTTATATACTATTATATCATATCATGTACTATGCGCTATCTAAATTAAAATAAAGCGGTGAACCGAACATATATGTATAGTGAAAATGATTAAGGTATATATTCTTTCATACGCTTCTTTAAAGAATTGTCGCAGCAATGTTGTAGGAAGTTAAGTTACAATTATTTAACATATTTGAAAACTGTATGACGGGACTGTCACTGAGAACTTTCAAATTCTAAAAAATCCAATTAGAAGTAGCTAAACTTATAACATACTTTATTGCTGTTATAGTTCATAATAAAATATTTTAATGCATACCATTAAATTAAATAATATTATTACATATTCAAATATTACGAAAAAATAATATAGTACTATATATATTATCAGAAATGATTTATAATTACAACTATTTCCTTTGATAAATATTTAACATCGTGGAACTAATATAAACTTTTATTGTAAATCATTTTAATCGTTTGTTGTATGGTAAAGCATTTCGCTATTTGCTTTCTGATTTTAAGATACAATATGAAAATTTTATAAAAGCAAAAACTTTATTACAACAGTTGATTGCTAAAATGTTACTAAGAGTGTTAAAACGTTCTGGAGATTTTATTTCATAAGTTATGCATGGTGAACAGTATTGTATGATATTTACTTTGCAATAATAATATATATATTCAAACAAAAATATAAGAAAAAAAAACAAACTACCACTATTACTCATATTTCCATCTAACGCACAATGTATTCTCTAAGTTTTCAGAAAATCCTTTAGAAATTTCTGATTGGATGGTACACATTATCCAAAGACAAAGCATTCATATTAAATAGATTAAAGGACCGATGAGCTCCAAACCGAAATGCTTAACTCTTACGGCACTCATTATTTCATTAGTTTTTTTATTAGTTTTTTTGCATAATCAAAAAAACTAATATATTATATTTTTGCTTTTATTATATTTCAGATACTACTCTTTGGTCTTAAATAATAAAAATAATTTTATTTAGATTATGATGTTACGATTTTTACGGTGCATTAAGCCAAAATATAATAGAATATTTTTGCATTTTAATTCACGTTCATAAGTTATTTTTACGGCTTTAATCTAAATCCACACATCACGGGAGTTTGCACTTTCCTTCATTTACTATACACTGTATTCCCTTATCAGGGAAAATAATGAGTTATCAAAATCTGATCTAATAATAACTTTAAGAAAAGAACATACATTCTTATTGTTTATATAACCACCCACACATTGAGATATGAAAGATAGAGTGATATTAAAATCTATCCTGTTTTTATGGCTTTTTAAACCTAAAAACGTTTATTTTCGTTTATCGTGTGGTTCACAACTAGTTAGTAACAGAAAATTATATCTTCAAAATACTAAACATTATTGTAAAAAATAGTCAGGATTTTCTGAAGTTTCAATACCCTTTACACAGATTTACTATGTGAAAAGGGTAAATGTGCGAATCTATTAATTCCACTTACTATTGTTTAGACTCCCACATAATAACATCAATCAGTTTAATGTATTTTATATTCAAACTTGATCTGCCTGGACTGAATAATTATAAAATTTCAGCGCAAAGTTTCATTCCATTAACTCTGTTAGTAAGTAACTACAATTAACCATTAATCCACTTATCTCAAAATACTAATTTGGAATTAATTTGATTTATATGTTATCCGACAATTCTCTTGACCTTTAGGAAACAGTCATTCGTTTATTCACAGTAACGCGGTATATATAAAAAGTGTAAAAATAAAATAAATATACATATTTCAAAATTACTCTTATTAAACCAAAAAAGTAATAATATAAATTTCAGAAAAACGTTCATTATAATGTTAGTATTATTGACACCCCAATTATGACGAGGTGTCCGAATAATCCGGATTAATATCACCATCTTTTAGACTATCGTTTATGAAAAATTGATACAAAACTTTTATTCTTATTAACCATTTTTATACATAATGGTAATGGACATAATTAGCTACTGGCCAACAAATTGAACCTTTTGTCCCACCATAGAGATAGAGCCATCTCTTCCAGTTGAATACGTCGATCCTATTCTTCATGCACAGATCCCATCTACTGCACTGAAAGAAACATGATTGAGATCAATTATTGACAAGGATTAACCACGATTTATACTGAACCGTGTTCTTTTTTTAGATAGATGTACTAAAGTTTATATACGCATAAGCACTTCTATTTCCAATATGTGTCTTAATCGCAACTCTACTAGTCATGATGTTGCATACTGAAAATACAAATTTTGCCGTATTAAGGTATTTTTACATCGATTTTACCTAGTTTTATATCTCCACTACACCCTAACATACTCCTACACTCATCTTCGTTTCTTCATATCGATCATATCGAGTTTTATATCTCCACTACACCCTCACTTATTCCTACACTCATCTTCATTTTTATATATCCCATATATAATATTACCACTAAACGAATTTGTTTTTATTTTTGCCCCTAATAAAATTTTGTTTTTACGCTTGTTAACCTTGGGTGATGATTCAGTTAGTTACAATTATTATGTTATAATTTATTAGTACAAATGCATATGGCAGATAAGGCAATGCATCCCCGTATCAACGCAACCTCGAAAACTGAACTACTTTCTAAGATGATAATTTACAATATATTATTTATCTTAAAGATACAAATATAAATATTTACGTAAGTTATTTGAATGTTTTTTGCAACTTGCACTTATTAATTAAATTAGTTTACTTAATTATACTTAATTTATTTAATTAAACTTGTAATTCACATACGAATTTTTGTGTTTTGTGATTTGCTAACTTAATATAATGTTATTAATATATTAATAAAAAATATAAAAAAATTATACGATAATCTCAAAACGACATTATTTTCATTAATCTGCCTATTTACAATAGAGTCCACAGTGATGTTTAATAGCAGTTTGTGAATATATATATACACATACATATTGAAAAAAATTTCATTAATATATACATATATTTATTATAAGAGTATCAGTATTTATAATAGGTTCCAAATGTCAAACCTCTGACCTAATACACAAAAGCAAATCAGGTGTATCTAGCTTAAAATCTGTCTTTACACTCAGTATTTACTGTCTGTCACTGGAAGATAGGACAGCATGGTGCTAGGCTGGGCCTACCCTGTGATATCTCCTGCAATGCGTGTCTACAAGCTTTTGAAAAAAAGACACCAGAATACCTACTGTCTCTATGTCCAGGCTTGTCCAGAATTAGGTTTTTAAGTTTCTGAAAGCCTCCTTCTTCTTAAATGTCCCCTTCTTTATAAATGGCTCTGGCTGGTTTCTAGCTTGATCTTCTCTTTACTATCCATTATTACGATGATTTGTGTATTCAAAACGGCTTTCTTAGCTAATTAAGGAGAATTCGGTCCTCCCTGCACCATAAATAACTATCGGTATTTAATAAAACTTACGCTTTAATTTTAAAAGTTTTTTTAGTTTTTAAAGCCATTTACATTGTCTTCGAAATAAACAGCTAACAGTTTTATATGTCGTACTAATGAGATACTATGAATTACTTTATATTTCACTAAGTCTTAATATTAAAAACTAATTAAATATCAAAAAAAATTTGAGATTTATTCAATATAGGAGCTGTTAAAGCGCAAATGAAACTTTTTTTAACTTTTATTGTAACATTTAATAAATAATAAGTTTTCACAGGATTAAATATTAGTAACGCAAGGTTTCATTCATACCCTTTTTATAATAATAAAAGAAATTGGAATCAAATCTGTATTCCACAATCTCAATCACGTATACTAGTTTATTCTAAACATAACACTATTAATATTATAATATTTAATATTATTAAAAAAAAAAAGATTTAAAGGTTTAAAGATTATTTTTCAATTCTAAAAGTATAAACATTTCATATTTATTAATATTCTTAAACAAGTTGAATATTTTCTACTTCCTTAATCAAATCCATATGCTTAAATTCCTGTGGTCGTTTTGTAAATGTTTCCAGCAATTTGAGTTTATTTTCATCATTTTTGCAATAAAACATTTGTAATTCATTTGCTAAACATTGAGCTTCTTGTCCGCTTAGCACTTTGCTGTCATACTCTCCCCTCATTAGTATGATTCCTTTATCTTTCATTTCAGTGTAGTGAACTAGAGTAAGGCACTCTGGTGCGTTTTCAGCATGTACCTAACAATTAAATAATAGTATTTGTATTAATAAATGAAAATATTATAACAATAACCTGATAGGCCAGAAGTGGGGTCAAATGAACAGCATTTGCAGCAAATTGCAACATAATAAATTCAAAACCCTCACTGCGCGGCAACGGCAACAAAAAGACTGGGAATAATTTTGCACGCTCCATGAGCGATTCATACTGGCCCACTGAAAGTGTAGCTGCCAACACGTTTTTAGTTTTATGATATTCAAACCATATCTTAGATATCTCATCAGCATTTTTGTCTTGTATAAGTTCCAGCTTCATAATATCCGTCAACTTTTTGTAAGGAATTTCGGCTTCAGGTTGTAATTCTCTCGGTTTTTTTGGATTCAGTAGTTCTTCATAAGTCCTACAGGGCATACTTTTAAAATCTTGAACATATTTCTTACTTGCTTTTGAATACCTTGTTTGACTCTTACCACCTTTAATGGGTTCGACCACCTTGCCAACGCGTTCGAGGAATTCCTCTGGCGATGTTTGTTGCAGATTTGCTAATTTTTGTGCATATTTTTCATAATATGGATTTTTATCTTTGAGCTTCTCCAGTTTCTCCTCTGCACGACGTTGAGCGGACATTGCAATCGATCTAGCAACTAAGAAATTATTTACTTTAAATATACGCAAACTACACCGCACACAGGCCATGCCGGAGTAAGAAAACCCTTCAATATTGTATTATTATACAACACACGCAAATGTATGATTAGTATTATGAAAAGAAAACAGATGTAATTTAAATGTCAAAAAAAAAAATTTTACACACTTTTATATTTATAAATATTTTATTAGCTTTAATTTTGTTTTTATATTTTTTTTTATCAGAAAAAAAAATTAGTTCATATATTTAAGAATTAATTTAAAAAATTATTTGTTTTCGAAGTAAACACAAGAAAACAAAATTTTATTAAAGAAGAGTTGGCAGCACTACAACTATATGTCAAAAAGTTTCATCGTGCTCAGAGGCATATTAGGATATAATTTTAAACATTTAACATTTTAAGTAATAGTTCCTGTCTAAAACAAAATAAAACCATGGCCTCAACTAGCGGAACTGAAATGCCAGAACAAATTGATTTGTCAAAATTGAGTCTTGAGCAATTGTTTCAAATAAAGCAAGAACTTGAACAGGTGCGTCTGTTAGTTTAGTCATGTGAAAAATTTTCAATTACTAATATATTTGATAGGAATTTAGTGGTATTCAAGAATCACTACAAACGCTGTACAACTGCAAGGCAAAGTATGCTTCATCCAAAGAAGCATTGGAGGCATTTCAACCTGAGTGGGAAAACCGTCAAATTTTGGTGCCGCTCACAAGCAGTATGTATGTGCCAGGACGTATAAAAGATCTGGACAACTTTGTTCTGGATATCGGTACTGGATATTATGTCGAAAAGGTAACCAAAAGTAAACGATTTGGAGACTAATACTGACTGCATATCATTTATTTGATGATTGCTACGTTTGTATCCAATTTATATGAATTCCTATCATTTTTTCAATTAATACTAATGAATTACAATCACTATAATAATGTACGGATTACTGATTTTATATTTTAAATACTCTACGTTTCAGAACTTAAATGATTCCAAAGACTATTTCAAGAGACGTGTTGATTATGTTCAGGAGCAAATTGAGAAGATTGAAAAAATCCAAGTGCAAAAAAATCGTTTCCTTAATGCTATCGTTGGTGTCATAGAAATGAAACAACTTGCGGTCGCAAAGCAATTGCAGCAACAACAAAACGCATAAAGATATTATATTATCATAATTTATTTTACGTTAAACGCTTAAATTAATTAAGAAAAATTATTAAAAATTTTGTAATATCTATTAATACAATTAATATAACATTATTCATGCAATTTAACGAATATACAGTCTTTTTCTATTATTCAGTTATAAAAGCTATTAACTGAGCAATTTTATTTATAAAATAAATAAACAATTTCAGAGACTAAAAATTGATATCACAGTAGTAACTAATATCAAAATTAGTTTCTTTTTGGATTTGGGTACATTAAAATTTAAATAATAAAGAATAAATATTTACAACTTATCACTTAATAAATATTTGGAATGAATAATAAAATGCAACGTTTTGACAAAGTTCGACTTTATACAGCGACATAATCTCCAGGAAGAGCGATTGTTTCATTCCAATACCTTTTTGTCATAAATGTCTTATTTTTACTTTTATGGTTCTACACATTTTTTTTGACTCCAACATCAGCAATTATTTCTTATATTAGTGCCAAAAGAATACATAATGTACACATAATAAATTCAAGACTTAATTGTTGCATAAAACCTTAATGATTGCAATCTGTAATAATAGAAAATTTTAAGTTTACATCGTTTTCAAGTTTTCTTCAATGATTAAATGTATATATATGAATAGATATGGATAAAACTTTAAAAAATTTAAAAAAGTGTCTTATTCTTCATAAACTTGAACATCTTAATCTTATTTTCTTAAGATTCTACACTGTGGTATAAGTTTATAATTTATTTATTCTTAAAGATATATCATTTCTAATTAATCTGTCTTTACACCAGTATAACTCAATAAACTTACATCGTGATTACATCGAATTTCTAAATCCCTTGGAATCCTATTACGCAGACGACCAAATAATCATCGATCATTGGTTATTAGTTTAATAAATTAGCTTACATCGAAAGCAACAAATGTAATAGACGATCACTAAGTTCAAGGTATCAGAAATCCTTATCAAAAAATTTTTCTGATAATGATGTCTCCATAATTTTCATATTTTTTGTAAAAGAGATTTTAATATTCTAACTCTTCATACCATTTATCTTCTTCATTCAAGCATTGTCTGTAATACATTCCACTATCCACTATTCCCTTATATTTTGGATCATCTGATCGAAGAAAATTCTAATAATAGTTTCAAAACGGGTTTTACCTTGTGTAAGTCATAATAGGACTTGTACCTAATACCTATAATAATAATAATAGTTAATAATAATAATATATTATAGTTTATGTAGACAATGCTATTAAATTATAATTTACACATAATAACGATTAAGTTATTTTTTATTTACACTGACATCATAAAATATTGTTGTATCATTAAATATATTAATTTAAATACAAAATATAATTTCATAAATAAAACTGAAAGCTCCACAACGAATTAAGTTCCTTATATATCTTAGCTTTATGTTGTGATCCATTACTTATTTTTTGTTTGCTCCAGGGCATTAGAAAGTATACTAATTTTTTGTTCATATGTTTCTTTTAATTCCTAGAATTATCATAAGTGATAGTTAACTATTTAAATAACTTTAATTGTATATACCTTAAAAATTTTAGACTGTATATCATATTCGGATCTTAGCTTATCGTATACATTCTTCGAAATTTCTAATTTTTTCTCAATTATAGCACATTTATCCTTCTCAGCCTTTATCCATAATTGTGCTTTTTCCAGGCGTGTTTGCATGTGCTCACATTCAGCATTTTTCAAATTCAACATATCTTTAGTGACCTGCACCACTTCTTTAACTGCATCCACTTGATTTTTCAATGTGCCTATCTGTTGTTCTTGGTGTTTGTTTTCTTTGGTTTTCTCAAAGAGCAACAATTTGCACTTAAGCAAGTGTTCATCCTGTTCTTGACGAGATTTTGGACCTTCAGCACCATTGCCTCCTAGCATAACAGACTGTTTTAGAGATTGCTCCAATTGCGTTACTTTGCGTTTTAATTTTTCATTTTCACTTAGACTTTCCTATACATTCGAATCAATTAAAACCTTGTAAATATATTGTCTTTTTATCCATTATGCGTTTTCTTCAAACTAACCTCCAAATCTTTACGCAGCGCACCTATACGTTTCCTCGATTCTTCAACCAATGCCTGTTTCTCACTTTCCAAAGTAAATACCATATCCAATAAATCCCTTTGTTGATCATCTACAATTTCCTTATTATTATTTACATCTTCAGTGTTTCCATTTGCTTCAGCCATCTTTTCCTTTTCGATCTGTCTAAATAAAACATGCAATTTCTTTGTTCAAAATTTCTAAACGATCTATCTTTTCTCATATTCTGTGTATTCTCTATATTGTCTCTGATGAAACTAGCTTCTGCACGACTATATTGTATTTATAGATTTAGTTGCAGTGCTATTTATAGGAAAACTCTTGTGTTCTAATGTGAGAGTTTCACATTAGAGCGTCCGCTGCTCGCGAAAAAAAAATTTTTAATATCATAAAATTTATGTTAATATGAGTTTATTTCAAATTTTAAAAAATACATGTGTGGCAGGGTTTTATATTAAGTCTTCCTGATATTTTAAAATTGTGACAACTTATTAACAAAACTAATGTTAATGAAACAAATAATATGTGTGATCGCATATTGTGAAAGTTTAAGTATTATTTAATATAGTAAAATTAAATAGTAGACATAAAGTAGAAGTAATGAAGTTGTAAAAACATTATTAATTTAATTCTCCTGCTGCGCAGGCATCGCCATATGATTTGCCAGCCTTCTCTTCTGGGTTCAACTTAATCATATCATCAATACGCAAAATAGTAATTGCTGCTTCTGTTGCGAATTTTAATGATTTTATTTTTGACATAGCAGGTTCCAACACACCAGCCTTTTTGTTATCGCGAACAACGCCTTCAATTAAATCCAATCCAGTCCATTTAAGATCTGCATGAGCTTTTTTTGTTTGACTGGAGTTATGATAGGCACGTAATTTTGCTACTAAATCAGTAGCATCCTTAGCAGCATTAACAGCTAAAGTTTTTGGAATGACCAAAAGAGATTTTGCAAATTCAGCAATAGCCAATTGTTCGCGGGAACTCTACAAAATTATTATATATTTATATATTGTTCCAAACTTTTTTCATTTAATAACTTACGAGAGAAGTAGCAAAGTTTTCTAAATAAATAGATAATGCTGCTTCAACGCAGCCACCACCAGCTACAACTCTTTTGCTTTCCAATACACGTTTAACAACACATAAGGCATCATGCACTGAACGTTCCATTTCATCACAATAGAAATCATTTGGACCACGTAAAATAATAGAAGCAGCAGCTCTGTAATATTTTATAATTAATATTTAACCTTATATTGGTTAAATCTCCTATTACTATTACACACCTGGCTTTAGTACCCTTAATCAAAATAAGCTCGTCATCACAAATACGTTCTTGTGCCACTTCAGCTGCTTCACCCACCATAGATGAATCAAAACTCTCATCACCTTCCATGTTAGTTAATGATGTTAGATATGATGCACCAGTTGCTTTAGCTATGATTTTTAAATCACTTTTTTTAACACGACGCACCGCCATTGCACCGGCTTCCACAAAGTACTTCATGCAAAGATCATCTACTCCGCCAGAGCAAAGCACCACATTAACACCAGTCCCTAAAATTTTGTTAATACGTTCCTTTGTTATATCTAACTCACGTGCACGTATGCCTTCTAATTTGTCTGGATCATTAATAAGAACTTGAACACCCATTTTCATTTTTGTTTTTTGTAAAGAAAAGTCTAGACAAGCAATTTTTGCATTTAAAATCTTTTTAGGCATTTGCTGTGACGCAAGGGTGCAGTTAAGTGCATATCCAGGAATAAGCACAGATTCTCGAGCTGATTTACCATGTGCTTTCAATACATTTATAGCTTTTATAGCATAAGAATGACCACCCTTGGCATCGTTAATCTTTTTTTGTAAAGTATATTTAAATTATCTATTTTTATATTGTAACAAAGCAAATTATATACCTTGACTGATTGAGCAGCATCAACCACCATTGTAGCAAAAACATCTGCATCTGCACCGATAATTTTTGAACTCATTGACGTTTTAGCTATATTAATCAATAAATCGCGTCCTAAATCATCTACAGGTGCAGTCAAGTGTTCAGATATGTATCTGCAAGCCTCTCGGCAAGCTAAACGATATCCAGATATTATGGAAGTTGGATGAATTTTTTGCTTCACCAATTCATCTGCATTCTGTATTCAAAACGAAATTTCTAATCAATTAGTAATAAAAAAATAATTATTTTATCACCTTTAACAATTCTGCGGCGAGTATTACTACCGAAGTTGTACCATCGCCCACCTCATCATCTTGTAACTGAGCTAATTCAACTAATACTCTACAATGACATACAATAAATATTTATAAATGCACAAACTACAATGCAACATTTCTTCCTTACTTAGCAGCAGGATGCTCAACCTCAAGTAACTTTAAAATAGTTGCTCCATCATTAGTTACAGTAACATCACCAATATCATCAACAAGCATTTTGTCAAGACCAACTGGGCCCAATGAGCTTTTTACAATATTTGAAATTGAAACAGCAGCCATTACTGAAATGAGGGAATTACAATCAATTTTACTCCACATCGCATTAGAGATTTCTATGTAAACTTCATGACGTCATATATTATTAACATATATTAAATTAATTATGCTTTTCTTATATATGAAAATTCCAGCTTTTATAAATGAATAGCACTACGATTTGTTAATTAAATTTGCTTTTATACAAAAATGATTTCTTCCGGAATGTTCTAATGCATTGAGTGCAGCCGCCGCACCTGTTTTTATTTTAACTTATTTCTTACCATTTTGAGTACGTACTGACTCGCCGGATTGCCTGCTTCCGGCAATAGATAAAGGAGCTGCTAGAGTCGACATTTTAAGATAAAGTTTTGTTAATTTTATTTAATAATTTATAAAATTTAAACAGCCCAATTCACACAAGAAATAAAGCGCCTGACTCACGCCGCTATTGAAAAGAATGTGTTTTCTTAAGTGTCAAACAATAGTGCTTGGATTGGCAGCACTGTCAATCACAGCATGCTATAAATAAAATGAAACAGTATTTATGTCATTAAGTTAATACGTCGTTTACACAAAGATACAAAAATTAACATTTATAAACAAATAAATATATTTTGCCCGATATAAATTGTTGACTAATATCACATTTTTTTATATTCTCATATATATTATATGTATAGGGGTACTTATCTGAACTGATAAATACCTTATAAACGTATAAATTTATCTAACTTAATAAATGATATGTCAAATTTTGTTTGAAAATCCACAAAAATTTACCGAATAAATTTACGGCATAAATTTATTTGTTATTTCTACACAAATATCTTTGTACTGTATTTTGTAGATATAAAGTACAGTACAAAAATATCTAATAATACTTTTAGTTTGTATTTTTCGCTTAATTTCGGCGTTTTATTATATTATTTTAAAATTTACACAAATATTTGGAATTGTAACGATATTGACTAAACGTTTGGTTGATAAAATTGCGCTGCTGAACATTACATTCTGTGCGTTCACATAGCATTCTACATAAGCTTATAAATTTAAATATGTATGTATTTGATAAATTTATATGCTTAGATGAGTTTCCTTATTATTAACGTTATGTTTTTACATACATTGAAGGCAACAAAGCATGTATCGACTGTATATTATTAAATTTTGTTTACTTAAACCACATACAGGTTATCCATTTTGTGGCTCTGAGAGTAAGCGTAAATAAAATACATATGTGATTGAGATTTTAATTAATTAAATATTTATTTCATTATTTATTGTTTGGGCCATGCCATTAACTGTGGAATGCAACACCCCTTAAATGTTTTTCAGGTAACTATATGCAACACTAGAACCTTTTTAAATCATTTTAAATGATTTGGCGACATTAGCCTAGCAATAGCCCGAAGTTTGGATGTCTCAACGTACAAGCATAAACCTACCAGATTAAAACTCGCAGTAGTTAGAATATTCTTCACAATATCATTTGAAACCAAAGCCATCACTTCTTATTGTTTCTATCTTATTTTGAATATGGAATATTTTATGAATTGATAATGTAATAAGTATAATAATGATATTAAAAAAAATTATATATTAAAACGCAAACTTTTTTAGAACTTGGGAATATATTAATAATTTTAATCGATTTAATTCACAATACATAAATTTATTGCTTTCAAAAAACTTCAGGAGAAAATTAGATTTTATTAAAAGCGGCAACATCAACGCTTTGGACATAATCTTCTTGCTTTTCAATTTCTTCTGTTAACCAATCAATTGAAACTTTATCATCTTCTACAACACAAGAGATGCTTAACTTTTTAATACCAAAAGCAACTGGCACAAATTTGGAAGCACCCCAGAGAAGACCATCAGTTGTGATTTTACGAATTTCAACTTCCATTAACTTAAGGTCTGTTTCATCATCCCATGGCTTAACATCAAGCACTAAACTAGACTTAGCAATTAATGCTGGTTTTTTGGATTTCTTAGCTGCATAAGCAGCGAGGCGTTCCTCACGAATACGAGCGGCCTCGGCACTTTCATCTTCACTATCTGAAGCAAACAAATCAACACCATCATCATCATCATCGGCATCGGCTTTTTTAGCGATAGCAGCAATTACAACAGGTGCAGTAGCAACACTGCCATTTGACTTTCCTGCAATATTTTCCTCTAAAACAGTAATGCGTTTTTGTGATTCTAAGCAAAGAGATTTCAAATCTTCTACTATTTTGCGCAAATCATTATTTTCCTTTTCAAGTGTTGCAATCCGATCCATTGCATCACTGGAGACGGGCGAAGCAGCTAATGTAGCAATGCCATCCATCTAAAAAATAGAATTTTTTACATTACATACGTATACATTTATATATGAAAAATATAAATATATAAAATATAACACTTCATGTTACAAAATTTGTACAAATTTGTTAGTTTTAATCGGATTAGAGTTTATATAGACCCTTACTCACTATCAAGTGCTCTATACATATTCATTATATATTAATAATCATTTAAACAATGTACTTGTTTTTAATACTATAAATAACATTATTCTACATTAAAGATAAGATGCAATTAGTAGCAAAACGTTTGACCTTATTTTAGTATTTATGAACTTTTGTGATAATGACCATGATATTTACCTTTTCCAAAGAGTTTTTAATGTGTTCTCTGGCTTTGGCAATTTCCGAAACCAATGTACATTGACTGTTGTTTGCCGTTCCCTTAAAACGATAACAGTGAACAAAAGTTAATACATGTAATGATTTATAGTTTAAATAAGTTATTATATACACATTTCAACCAATTTTGTTAGTTTATTAAAAATTTCAAGACCCAAAAACAAAAATTAAATATTAAATTTATAAACAAAATAACTATAATAAGAAACTATCAACAAAATAGGAAAATATTATATATTTATGTAATTTAATAAATACATTCAAATCCAAGTTCCATGATTGTATATGACCGGTATACTTTCTAGGTGTATGGCTTCACCATACCTTGGCATAAAAATGAAGCATTGTATATGTTAGGATTGGGTAAATCTGATTCAAGTATAGTTTCAAAAGGGAGACATCGTTCTTATTAAATTTATTTAATATACAGCTTACAATATTTCAGCCAGTAGATACAAAATTGATTTTCTATCATATTTTTCAAAAACAAAAGCGAATTAAAATGAAAACGTCCAATTTTAAAATTGAAAATAATATATAAAAATAAGGTAAACAGAATATGACAAAGGAAATTTAATAAAAATTAATAAAACATGTGTTTCTTTGATAATCAAAATATTTAACAAGTCGCATTACCTTAACACTGGTAGGTTTCCCTTTGATTTTCTTTTTCAAAGTTAAATCTTGTGGTATAGCACTATTGCTTTCCAAAGAGGTTTCAGTGCCATTCTTTGGCGTTGGAATAGTTAAAGGAATTGGACGATTTTTTAATTTTTTTTTATTTTTCTTAGCACTTGACTTGGCTTCATTCTCTTGCTGTTCTTGTACTTTTTCGCAACGAGGTTTCATATTATCTACCTCGTCAATGATATTGTTAACAACTGCAGCCGATTTGGCAGCGTTATCATCTGCAACTGTAGATGATACACTTGATTCGGTTTCATTTTTGCTACTTTTCACCTTCTTAGATTTTTTCTTTTTTGCAGACTTTGTGGTTGGTTGTTCCACAATACCCTTCTCATTACATGTTTTTTCAATTGAACCAGACGAAGCTGTAGCAACAGACTCCGAAGATTTAGGAGAACTTTTCTTTAATTCCTTAGCAGCGTGCAATTAAAATAAATATATTACGCTTTTAATATATTTAATTGTTAGAGACGAGATCCATATATAAAATATTCTTCACATGCTCAATATACTTACGGTCTTCAATACACAATGACACACACAATCACACAAACTGATATCGCATGCCAAAACGTGGCAATGCAATTTTTTTTTCTTAATAACATCAAAATTTACCTTGCTTAAACTTTCATAATATTTGCATTCAGCATCGTTAAAACGGGCCCTATCCACCCAAACACGTTCACAAGCAAGTGCAGCCATTTTTTCTTTAGAGGAACACAAAAACTCGCCACCACTTCGTCGGGTCAACGCTTCGCAAAAAAGTGATTGAAAATAATCAATTCTTCTGTAGCCTGTCCATAGCATTGCCAGCATCAATTAATAAATTATTTACACAAATATTGCTTACAAAATTTATGATATATGTAACACCTTATAAAAACAGATAGAATAAGTTTTACCAATTTTATTTGTATTTCGTGTATAAAATGAACAAAATCACACTTTCGTTTATTATAGTAATTAATAAGTTAATTACTGGTTGGATGTATAATTAATGCAAGTGGTTGCAGGGATTGATCCTCAAGCACTAATTAGAAGAAATTGCGAGAGATCAGTACAAATCCTTCCTGCTTAGTTTAACGAACTAACAGATATTTTGTGTCCATCGATGAACAATTCAACACCGTCAAGGAAATATCTTCCCAAAAACCTGTTTCTTCAAGTACTCATTTGCAGAAATTCCGATATATCAGTACTACTCCATACTGCTTACTTTCAATAATTAACAGATTTATTGTACCCATCAATGAACAATTCAACACCGTCAAGAAAATATCTTCCTAAAAACCTATTTCTTTTGCTAGCGAAAGCTGGAAAGAATAAACAAAATAAAAGAATGAAACTCTTATTCAACTTATGAACAGAACCCAAATATATAACAATGATACAATCAAATCAATTGAACTTATTAAATTCTACCTTATTTTCCCTGATGAAGATTTAATTAATGGCGAAAGGCTGAATAGCTATAAACACCACGACTACTTTGCTGTTAATAGAAATGGCGCCCTAAACACTCAATTATCGGCTTAAAAAACCCTAATATCATTAAGTAGATAAAGAGAGAATGATTAATAAAACAATTTCAGAATAGTATACGTATTGTTTAAATTGTTTTTAAGTAATTAACAAGAAATTATTGCGCTTGCTGTACTTTTCAGGCGCAAAAGCAGAAAACGTTTATTGTCCGACCAAGCAGTCACAATTCGATAATTTGAATAATCAAATACTAAGCCATATTTATGTTAAAGTACTTGTAAATAAGTTCTGAGTGCTTTAAAACGACCACAAAGCGAAATTCGTCTACGTCAGTTGTAAAAACAGCCAATATGCATTGTGAAAAATGAGTAATGATACGATATTTTGAATCATTTCCAAAGCGTTGTGTTAGTTTACACAAAGTTATAACACAATTGCGCATTGGGTTTGTTTATAAGTTAACAAACCCAATGCACATTCTGTTCGTTAAACGCCTTCAATATCCGTTTTTGTCTTAAATGATCATTAAATAAAATGTGCAAAAGTGAAAGAATATTTTGTATAAAATACCAATTTAATTCAGAATGAGATTTTTGGCTGATATATGCGATCTTAAAAATCGCAACATTCAAAATAATTAACTTTGCATTGCTATAAGTATAGATTCTGTCAATCATGGGATCTTCACTAATTTGATAGTTTCAAATTATTTTCCAACATCAACTGCACCGAATATTGCCGGCAATCAGCTGCCGGCAACAGCATACATATATCAATACATATGTACGTCAACAGCTGTGTTGATTGTTGATTGGTTAACTATAAATTATTAAGTTTTGTATTAATCCTTATATAATAAAGTCAATTTGTTGTTATCTGAAAAATGTTTGTTAATACACTTTCTAATTTTTTAAAAATTTCTCGAACACATTTAATAAGAAATATGCACAATTCGATAAAAGAGCATAAAGTTAAAGTGGGAAATGTAGACATCAACATTGTGGAAGCAGGAAGTGGGAACAATAGTGTGCTGTTAATGCCTGGAGCATTAGGCTCAGCTTGGACAGATTTTAAACCACAAATTGAAAATTTGCCAAAATTACTTCCTAATTATACAATAATTGCTTGGGATCCTCCTGGCTATGGTAAATCCATACCACCAAAAAGAAATTTTGGACTAGCCTTTTTCCAAGACGATGCCAAATGTGCTGTTGATCTTATGAAATCAATAAATCGACCAAAGTTTTCAATATTAGGGTGGAGTGATGGCGGCATAACTGCTCTGATAATGGCTGGACGTTATACAGAAAATATTGAAAAATTAGCTATATGGGGAGCTGGTGCATATCTTAACAAAGAAGAAGTAAAAGCTCTGCAAAGTATGTATAAAGTAATAAATATTTTGTTTTTAATTTTAAAAACATTTGAATGAGTATTTTAGATATTCGCGATGTAAACAAATGGTCGCCACGAATGCGTGAACCAATGGAGCAGGTGTACGGAGCAGAACGTTTTGCCGAACTTTGGGGTGAATGGACTGATGCTGCAATTGATTTTTACACACATTGTGATGGTAATTTTTGCCGGAGTGAAGTTACAAAAATCAAATCACCAACATTCATTTTACACGGTAAAAAGGACCCAATGATTGCCGCAGAGCACATCCCTTACTTAAGACAGAGATTGCCATTTGCTAAGTATATATACAATAAAAATAAATTTCGAAATAAATTATTTTAAAATTTTTTTTCAAGGTATCATGAATTTCCGGATGGCAAACATAATATACATTTGCGATACCCTGATGAATTTAATAAATTAGTTTCAGATTTTTTTCTAACAAAATTATAGAAATTTTGAAACGCATAATAGATTTGAAATGATCTTGAATTATATAAAAAATAGCATTTATAGAAATGTGTGATAATTGTAATGTGGTATAATATTTTTCTCAATAATTAAATATTATTGATGTAACCCATCATTGGACCCAACTATTTTATATTTTTGAAATATTTTTTTTTTTTGTATAGAATAAATAAAGTGGTAGAGACAGGTAATATTTGTTTATATCTTGTAAACGCCTATTATAAACTAAAATGTTACGATATAATATTGTTCTTTCCCATTGAGTATTCACAATCATTATCAGAAGCAAAATACATCTAAAATATATAGGACAAACAAAACAATGATAGTAAATTTAAAAGTAAAATCATATATAATAATGTAAAACGTTCTCATACGTATCAACAAATTATTACCTTGTTTTAAATAATTTCATTAAATATTTTATGTATATCAAGAGAATATTTTATATACTCCAAATTTTGATCAAAAAACATTTTAAAATTTAACATTTAAATATATGGGATATTTACAAAATTTTACTATATAAACTAAACACAGGATATTGAGACATTGTACTGAGCTTGAAAATAGAATCCGGCAATTGGATTTCATAATTTGATTTAGCAATGTAATCTCTTGTTTTCACATTAGGTCGGCCCTCGCGATAACCAGTATCTTTTTACGGTCCAGATCCTCTATACTCAACCACAACCTGTCTGTCAGCAAATTTATTATTACTTTATAAACCATTAGTAATGTATGCAATGCATACTTTTCAGAATTCCAAATACTTTGGTTGATCCTTTACTTGAGAGGGAGTCAATTCAACACCACTTTTGACTTTAACATCGTTAGCATAGATAACCTTTAAAAAAATAGACACTGAAGAAATATTTATTAAATAAAACAAATATAAGTATATTTCTTAAATAACATCGGAAACAATTAAACATTTTTTATTTGATGAAAAAGCTTATTTAAGTTAATTTTGACAAATTAATAAACTTGGAAAAATTTCGAATTCCAGTTTTGGTTTACACTTCCCGTTGTTATCTTATCTCCGGCGAATTTGTAATTGTTTAACCAATAAGTTTTAAATTGTATATAACATGTTCACAGCATCTCATTTAGGCGTTTATAAGTGATCGTTCACATAATAACGAGCTCATTTATGCGACTGATAAAACTTTTATAAACTTCACTTTATCATAAATCATACAAAATTAAACATATAATTGATATATTAAATCATACATATGCATTTATATATCAATTACATATTCAATTAGTAAAAACAGATACTTCCTTAGTGACTTTTTCACAGCTCAGCTGTTATTTGTTTACTTTTACATATAAAACATATGACACATATTTTAAATTTTGGTAATTTCCTTTTAAGGGTTGATTCGATATTTTTCACCTCAAGGTACACCAAGCGCACTAACTTTTACAGGTACCATTACATGGAAATGTTCGTTCGTTCGCAACCGTTCGCTTCGGTGTGGTGAAATTTTAAATGAGCTGATTTATTGATAATGAACTCATTTATATAAAAGCACTTTGTATGGTAAATCAACCTCATTAGTGGCTGTCTATGGATGCTATGATTGTGCTATAACATAATTAAATATACGATCTTTATAAGCAGCAAACAGAATTAACGCAATAATAATAATTATAAAGAAATAGTTAAATAAAATTTTTTTACTAATTTATTTAAAATATAAAAGTACATAATTTTATATAATTATAAAAATTATATATATAATTATAATATATATATTAATTTTCTTTTAGTACTTTGCATCGACATTATCTTGACTCATAATAAAAAAGAATGAGTGTCTCTTGCTATTTATAATAAGATCTAACAACTTAGAATGCTCTGACATTCATTATTCTTTGATTATCAGTCGATGGCTAAAGTTTTAAATTACTTTGATAATGTCAAATGCAAAGAATTTTGGCGCCTAGTCGTACCAGCTGATTATTTTGTATAATAAATTAACAACTGTTGCATTGTTTGTTTATTATAAATTTTTTAATTATTGTTATATAAAAGTCAATGTTATCTGAAAAATGTTTGTTAATACACTTTCTAATTTTTTAAAAATTTCTCGAACACATTTAATAAGAAATATGCACAATTCGATAAAAGAGCATAAAGTTAAAGTGGGAAATGTAGACATCAACATTGTGGAAGCAGGAAGTGGGAACAATAGTGTGCTGTTAATGCCTGGAGCATTAGGCTCAGCTTGGACAGATTTTAAACCACAAATTGAAAGTTTGCCAAAATTACTTCCTAATTATACAATAATTGCTTGGGATCCTCCTGGCTATGGTAAATCCATACCACCAAAAAGAAATTTTGGACTAGAATTTTTCCAAAACGATGCCAAATGTGCTGTCGATCTTATGAAATCATTAAATCGACCAAAGTTTTCAATATTAGGGTGGAGTGATGGAGGTGTTACTGCCTTGATAATGGCCGGGCGTTATACAGAAAATGTTGAGAAGTTAGCTATATGGGGAGCTGGTGCATATATTAACGAAGACGAAGTAAAGGCCATAGAAGGTCCGTTAAAAATATTAATTTTATTTTCGTTTCAAACATATATAATTATCAAAATTCCAGGCATACGCGATGTAAACAAGTGGTCACCGCGAATGCGTGAACCAATGGAACAGGTGTACGGAGCAGAACGGTTTGCCGAACTTTGGAGTCAATGGACAGATGCTGAAATAGCTTACTACACACACTGCAATGGTAATTTTTGTCGGAGTGAGGTTACAAAAATCAAATCCCCAACATTCATTTTGCACGGTAAAAAGGATCCAATGGTTGCCGCAGAGCACATTCCATATTTAAGACAGAGATTACCTTTTGTTAAGTAAAAAATATAATAAATAATATAAATTTTGAAATAACATATTTTTTAAAATCAAGGTACCATGAATTTCCGGATGGCAAACATAATATACATTTGCGATACGCTGATGAATTTAATAAATTAGTTTCAGATTTTTTTCTAAAGAAAATATAGAAATTTTGAAACACGTAATAGACTTGAGATGGTCTAGAATTATTTAAAGAATAGCATTTATTAAAATATATAAAAAGCTGCATTTATTCAAAATATAAGTGATAATTCTAATGTGATATGATTATATCAATAGTGACAATATAATATCTAATTATGGTAATACGAATTTGTTCTCCAGAATATTCAAATTCACATACTTAGTATAACCAAAACAATATATATTGTTTAACTCATTTGTAGAATACCTAATTACTAATAAAACTAGCTTATTTATTTAAACTGCTTTGATTGGGTTTTATTAATTTGTTAAGTATGAACATAATATCCGTTTAAATATGCAAATCTCCATTTGTTTGCATATAACTTAATTATGTATAGAGAGCTCGCAAAGGTACCGATTGGGTAAAAGACTCATCGAAATATGCGTAGTAGCTGTGAGAACAGCTTCCATTTAAACTGAGTAAAATTTGTGACTTTTAAATGAACTCCTTTCAGAATTGTGTTTACGGTTTAAGAATATCCCGAAATAATAACAATAATAAATAAAAGTAATGTTAGGGTTTCCCCTGTCCAGGTTCCTCATTATGAACATAGACAGAACTTAATCATAAGGAATTTACTTAAAAAAATCGAAAGTACTTTAGTTCTATCTTGACAACCTCTTTATCACAACTGACAAATTACGCTGTAATAACACTTTCTCTTATCAAATACTCACAATCATTGCAAAAAGATAATGTATTATATTATTAGTAAGTTAAATAACTTCATTATGGTGGATCTATAAAAGAAGTGGGAAGTGGGGGGACAAAACTAAAGTAATTAATTTAAAAACAGACTGTGTGAATATGTACATACATCTAAACAAACATTTGTACAATATATGTATGTATAAAAAACAGAAGTTTTGATTTAACGAATTACTAATGATTTTATATAATCTTTTCATATATTTTGAATTTTTTATATATACAAAAAGTTATTTTATAATTGAAAGTATTAACATATGCTTTTATTTAGAATCTTGATAAATCATTTAGAAAAATTTTTCATATCACTTAAGCACAATATGTAATACATTTTTATTATTTTTGTATTTGCCTATGTAAAATAGGAACATAATCATCGTACTGAGCCTGATAATAGTTTCCAGCAATCGGATTACCCAAATTAAATTCGTCAATATAGTCTCTTGTTTTTATATTAAGACGTCCTTCACGAGTACTGAAAAGTGTAACAGTAAAATTGATTACATTAGATAAGCAAATTTTGCCTAGAAGTGCTTACGTTTTTGGAATAAATAGCTCGGTAACGATTTTTTCCGATTGCTTAAAAACCAGAAATATATAACGATGCAATCCGGTATCTTTTGGCGGTCCAGATCCTCTATACTCAACTACAACCTGTCCGTCAGCAACTTTATTACCAGGTATATTCACTACAAACCAATGATTTATTTCACGAAATATAGGATTTTTACGACTTGGCGCATCTGGATCAATCATTAGTAATGTATATAATGCATCACTCTCAGCATTCCAATTAACTTCTGGTTGATCTTTTACTTGCGTAGGAGTTAATTCACCACCAAGTTCGACTTTTACATCATCAGCATAAGTAATCTATAAAGAAAATATATATGCACGAAATATTGTACATTGAATAAAATAATTATACAATAGTATATTTACTTCTGCAATTTCCTTTGGTGCTTCATCAATAACATCGGGCACTATATCATTAGAATCCATACTCGCGTGTTATTCAACCTCTTAACTACACACTTCAATTGAAACTATTCGAACACTAATTATTTTAAATTAATACCAAATACGATATCTTTTTAAGCTTTGTGTAATTGATAATGGCTTTCAAACTTGAAGAAGTGGGCAACTTTTGATATGCATATAAAGGGACTGTACGATATAAAAATGAAATTTCACATCTACGATCAAAAAATGTAATAGAAATAAAAATAAATATGTAAATTATATTTTTTTTAATTCATTATTTTATTTTACAACCAATAATACTTATATCACAGACGCAATGAACTTTAAACTTGGATAATAGATGTTAATGTTTTTATGTAGAAACTTCAAATATATATTGTGCAAATATTTGTTTGATAATATAGTATCCATAGAAACCTTGATGAAAACAATTTTATAATTTTTAGTATTGTTTCATCATTCAGCTGAGGAGTTTACATTTTAACACCCACACACAATCTAAAAGTATTGCTGATAATTGAAGTACATTCAATCAACAATCTCAAAATAATACACTCATATATTTTTATTCACTTATTTTAGTAGAAAAAAAACCAAAGATTTCAAAGTATCTAAATGATTTTTATATTTTTATAAATATATGATTTTAAAGTCAGAGATAAATTTATTTTTTTTGGGCTCCCATTTGCTCATGTAAAATACGCACATAGTCATCGTACTGGGCTTGATAGTAGTTGCCGGCAACAGTTGTGAGATTGTATTTACCAATATAATCCCTTGTTTTTACATTAAAACGACCTTCACGGGTACTGTGAAAACAAAATTATGTTAAAATATATAGAACACTTCAAACTTCTATTTTAACATTTACGTTTTTGAAATGAACTTATCGGTTGTAATTTTTTCAGCTTGTTTGAAAACGAAAAATATATAGCGATGTAGACCGGTGCCCTCTGGTGGACCAGAACCAACAAATTCTACAACTGTTTGACCTTTAGCAACTTTATCGCCTGGAATATTTATAACAAGCCAATGACAAACTTCTCTATATTTTGGATCTTGACGAGACGGTGCATCAGGATCAACCATTAGTAAAGTATACAATACACCGCTTTCAGCATTCCATGTAACTTCAGGTTGATCTTTCACTTGTGTAGGTGTTAATTCGTTACCAAGCTCTACAACTGCGCCTGAAGGGTACTTTATCTTTAAATTGGCATTAAAAAAGGTTATTTAGAATAAATAATATTATAGGAAGTAATAATTAAATTTACTTGTGCTCTTTCCTTTGGTGCTGCATCGATGATATCGGGTATGATTCCGTTCTTGTCCATATTCTAAAAATATACTGTGAGCACTGAAACAACTAAATGCAAACTGTCTACAAACACTCGCTACTCACTTCTTTTATCATGCAACTGTAATCAGTGCTTATAGAGCATACAGATAATGACCACTTTTTTCAAGTCACCTTATGATAAGCAACTATTAGCGCAAGCAAATTTGTCTGGAACCTACTTTGGTTCTCTATGTTATGATTGATCAAAGGGAAAACATAGTAAAATTTAAATGTGTCTAATAACATTTAAATGTGTCACACATTTAAATGTGTGTTATCTAACTTATTTATATTCAATATAATTCATTATATATAGATATTTAAATTTATTTATTTTTTATCTAATATATGTATATCTAATTTTGTTGTGAATTTAACAATTAATTAAAAGTTTCTCATTATACTTTTTTTTGGAAATAAATTATAAAATAAAAAATTATCATAAATCAAATTGATATGATTATAAATAGTCTCGAGATACAAAGGTTACGTGTCTAAGCAGTAGTTCCTTTATCTAAACTGAGTCATACTTGACAGTAGTCTGAACTTAGTACAGAAACAAGTTTATTTGTTTTGACACAATTTTAGTAATACAATTAAGACTACAGGTAAAGACTTGATGGAAGAGATTTATAATATGTATATCCGATAATAGGCTATCCGAAACACTTCATAGATACATATATCAATATTATAGTCAAATTACTGTTGGGTACTGATGAGATATAATAGAATATTGAATATTCCGTACACCCTTATCAAAGCTGTCAGGAACATAAGGAGAGCGCTTTACAACTATTTCGTCACTATTTAGCGTATGCGCTACATAGGTTGAACACTTATTTTTAACACATGCAGTTAAATACACTACATTGGTAGGTAATTACTTATTTTCTAAAGGATCTTAGTCAGCTTTTTGGCCTCTCATTAAGAGCTTATTGTGCTTCAGTCAAGCTTCCTAATACTTTTTTGCGGCAATACAATATGGCTCCTGGCCTTAGTATGAGACTCCGGTTCTTAACTAATGGTGTCAATATAATTTCATATATCTTATTATGAGATACTTTTTGCAATTAGCACTAAGCAATTTTTTCAGTTCTTGCTACATTCCATTTGTTTAGCTTTCAAAAAGGCTTCGTTTAAAGCTTACACATGCAAGTCAATAATAGTTGCGAATGAATTGACATTTTTGAATAATCCTAATTATATCTTTTTCAAAATCTTTAATAAGAATGTATCAATATTTCATATCTATTTATTTTATAATAACTACAAAAAATAAACAGAAAATGACTAATATAAACTGATGATAATTATTACCTATACGAACCATTTGCAAGTCCAGAAAATTCTAATTAAAAAAAAACGACTAAATTGAATTTCAGAGTTAAAAAAACAATAAAATTTTCAAATTTATTCTTTTAGAAACTCATATGACTAATTAAATCGATTTTAAAATTTATTGGTTCTACTCGATAAACAATTTTTTATTAATATATTTCTCACTTCTGTGTGCCTCTGTTTGCCAACACCGTATTTTACATCTATTCCCCCCTCTTGCTTTGATTTAACTCAACAAATGCTGACTCACATGCTTGCGGTTAACTGTTATGAAGAGCGAAGAGCGATATACTCGTATATTATTTATTATATATTTTATTTAACTGTTTATAATTAACATTTTCAATATAGTCAATAAAGTTCAATGATAGTTAATGTATATATATAGAATGTTACATTTTGTTTATTTGTTGTAATAATTAATAAAGCTAATTCAATATATAAGAGAGGTTGAATAATCGAATAATTTCAACAATTATTATTTAATTCGAAAAATGCAAATACCTTACCGTTTATATATAAAATCATTTATATAAATTTTTTTATAAAAAGCGATAGGTTTCTTGCTTCGAATAGTATTGTGCATAATCAAATTAAACAATATATTTTACTCATACATTAACGTTCTTTTATATTTGGAGATTACATACATATTTGTTTATGCTTATAATGGAAAAGTAAAAAAATATTACAAAACTATGTAGAAATAAACAATAATTAATTGGATACGTCCAAGGGAAGTAAACTAAGAAATACGAGTACATAAAATATTCAAATTAAATATTTAAAGAGTAGAAATAATGTAGAATAGAAATAATGTATATAAACATAACACTAAATTGGAATACATAAATTTTAATTATTTTTGGAAAATACAAATTTCTATGTTCAATATCATATTTTACATTGCGCGTCTTTGACGTTTCCGTAAAAATTTTAGGGTGCCACCGCTAACTCTTAACAGCTCTTAACAGCGAGTTTCGTATAATCCGCTACGACCAATATAACGCACCCATTTAACGACATCATGATCAGAGTAGTTCAATTTTGGTTCGAATACTTTCAAATAGCGTACCTTGAAACCAGATGGTGCGAATGGTACCTCAAAATTCATAGATATAGGTGGGCGTGTCCATTTCTTTTTCGTATCGGTTTCTAGTAATTCTATTTCAGCCGAAAGTTGAGTTTCTTTCATACCCGCCATACGTTTGATTTTCCAAACAATGGCATTCTCTGATGCTTTATATTTTGCTTTGCCTTTAAGACATATGAGTTGAACACCAGAAGTATTTAAAGGCGTAGGTATTTTTACTTCAATTTTTTGACCCAACAGAGAAGGTTTGAAATTCGATTTCAGTACTACTTTTACTTCCATTTTAGTACGGCCAACCTCACGCACCAATGGTATAACACGGAATGGCAATGAAATATCTTTTGTTGTGCGGTAACGCATTAATTCAAATTCACCGTCTGGCGGTATAAAACTAATCGAGTGTTCAGTCTCAAACTTGCTAAGCTTGACACATTGATGAAATTGGCAATCATCAATAACTACAACAGGCTTACCAGAGCGTGAAGTTTCTGCTTCGGAATTTCCAGAAAGACCACGACCTTTCGATTCCATGACAATTTTGTCATTAATACCAAATTTACATTCGGGCATCCCTGAAAAAGTTAACAATTAATTTCAAAGTTTCAAAAAAACATAAAAAAAGTATTTTTTTTGGCATTACCAAAGCAATAATACCCTTAGAATACAAATTAAAACTTGGCTATGATTTCGTATAAAGTCTGATACTATTTTATCTATTTCTCGACTTTATCTAACTGAACTGTCGTGTAAGTCCCTGTATGAAGTCTTATGAATTTAGCACAAAACTTGAGAGTGGAATTAGCATAATAACAAGCAGATAGTTGAAGAGACTGATAGTGGAAGAGGCAGACTATATAAGCTGATAGCCAAATAGAATATTACAACAAACTTAACATACTCTTCTTCAATGTAAGAACATCACTTATTAATAGTAATTTATTATCTTACTTAACAATACTTGGGTTTGCTTCAGATATGATTTTGTATTACAACCATATCATTACAATTGGTTATTAAATTAACCAATTTACCTTAATTGTAATTTAAATAAAACATGTAATGTAAAAGAAGTTAATTTTCTTTTAAACATTTGGACAAAATTTTAATAGTATTTAGATTAATTGTATAATAAATAAATATATTATATATATTATTTGGACAGAAATAATATTTATTTTGTACATTTATGTTAAATAATCATACACGCATATATATGTATTTAGCAATATACCATAGATAAAACATACCGACCGCTTTTAAAAAAGCTGCATTTATTCTTTGGGTATTAATTTATCATTTAAGACTGGTTTGAATATGCAAAATATATTAACGATTATTACTGTATTTAACCAATAATGAATTAATATTAAAAATAATTTTAATATTAAATAAAAAATAAACGTGTTTATTCACTTTCTAAGAGTTTGTTACTCACCCGAAAGATATGATTTCATTACAACCTTACCAGCTACGTGAGCCGATAACACTTGACCTTGCGGACTCATAAGCAAGTTAACATATTCTAAAACATCCAAAAACAGCTCGTTGCGCCGGTACTTAATACCTTCACGTCGCCAGCCTATTTGACCCGTTACCTTACAAACGAAAAATTTATATTATTTATAAAATACTTATATTCATGTCACAAATATATTACTTGGGAAGTAATTTGCATTTGTTCTTCTTTGGTTGCTGACTTGATACCTTGCTGTGTTATAAAAGTCTTCAGAGTTCCAGAATCTGTGTTTTGAGGATAACCAAAATCCAAAATTTCATCAAGCAACTCATAAATAAGCACAAAATTATTCTTGATGTTCTCTTCAGATATTTTACCAAAGTATGATTGCATCACTTCAATAATTTTAAGAAGGAACTCAAATACCATCGCAGCATTTACATTTTGTTTGGTCACCGCAGCTAACCATATATTAGCGCGCTGTAAAATGGGCGTATGTATATTCAATTCATATTCACATACATTTCTAGCAGACGTGGCACTTACCTTAATATGAAAAAAACTAGTTCGCGCTATGTTAGTAACTGGTGACCGGACTTGCTGACGAGCATGTATCACATTTACTCTGAATGCATCCACTGCATTACGTCCGATGTCATCACGATAAACTCGGCTGATAAGAACTTCGCCTTTATGATTGTAAACAAATAAGCCACCAATCATCTCGGCTACCTAATAGGCCCTAAGTTACTCAGAAAACAAAAATGTTTATATCAAATTTGATTTTACTGTTTAGATATTGGTCAAATTGAAAGATTCGAAGAAATTTCTCTACAATTTTTTCCAATTTGCACCAAATATCGATCAACACCCTCCACAAATTAAAATTTTGACGTCTATATAATTGATGGTCCACAGGGTTGCAATTTAATCCAATATTGAAATTTACAAATGCTTTCCAGCTGCGCTTCGTTGAAATAACACATCTCTTAATGATTCGTTATATTGAAATTGGCTAATATTTTTTAACCACAAAATCGGTGATAGAACATTTCTTTTCATAATTTATCGAAAATATTTTGAATCAGGAAAATTCAAACATGTAGCATCGTCTATATCCTGCTTAAGTAAGCATATAAAATTGTTGGCATATTGCTTATACAAATATATATACATTCTTGGTTGAAAGTCAGCACATTTACAAGCAACAACATGGAAAAATGTAATAAATTAATATTTTAAAAAAAACTAAATTAAGTTTGAATGTTAAAAACTTCATGTTTTTTTTTTGGTGGATTCTTATATTTTTCATATACATAATTACATTTTTGTTTGTGAGAAAAGTGTCGATATTGTAAGAAACGATATCAAAAACCACACAAATATGCTCTATTCAGTGAACCATGGTTACGTATGTGTAAAAGTAATTATGTAAAAGTAATTGAATTAAAAAAATTTCTTCATGATCTGCTGTATAAAATAATATCTAATAATATAAAATAAAATAATAAAAATTTAAATATGCAACTCTGTATTTTTTGACAGCTTTGGTACGCACGTAACTTCGTAAATTAAATGACTTTGCGGCTTCCAAATAAGAAATTCATTGCTGGTAAATATTTTGTTAGTGAATACTTTGTGAATAAATTAGGAAAATGCCTGCTGAAAATTTAGAAGAACAGGGTTTGGAAAAGAATCCAAAATTGGAATTGGCACAAATGAAGTTTTTATTAACTTTGGAGGAGCATAAAAATGACACAGCACTAAAAAATGGCTTACTAGATGCTATACGTGCGGATAACATGGCTCCGTGGTACGAGCATATTTGTACAGAACTAAATTGGACTGTTGATAATGATTTGCTTACAAAAATGAAAGAACAAAATCGCAATGAATTGGCAAAATTAGATGAAGCGATAGAGGATGCTGAAAAGAACCTTGGCGAAATGGAAGTGCGTGAGGCGAATTTAAAGAAGTCTGAATATTTATGCCGTATTGGTGATAAAGCTGCTGCTGAATTAGCATTTAGAAAAACTCATGAAAAAACAGTATCGCTGGGCCATCGCTTGGATATAGTTTTTCATTTAATTCGTCTTGGTTTATTTTACTTAGACCATGATCTGATAACACGCAATATTGAAAAAGCCAAATATTTGATAGAAGAAGGTGGAGATTGGGATCGACGTAATCGCTTAAAAGTTTACCAAGGTATATATTCAGTAGCCATAAGAGAGTTCAAATCTGCTGCAAACTACTTTCTGGATACTGTAAGCACATTTACTTCATATGAATTGATGGATTATCCCACTTTTGTGCGTTACACTGTGTATGTGGCTATGATTGCCTTACCACGCAATGAACTGCGTGACAAAATCATAAAGGGTGCAGAAATTCAGGAAGTATTACACGCGCTACCAGATGTTAAGAAATACCTATATTCACTTTATAATTGTCAATATTCAGATTTCTTTATGCATTTATCTGAAGTTGAACAATTGTTACGCAAGGATTACCTAGCCTATCCTCATTACAGTTTTTATGTCCGTGAAATGCGTATACTAGCCTATACTCAATTGTTGGAATCATATCGTTCTCTAACGTTGCAATATATGGCGGAAGCTTTTGGAGTTGATATTGATTACATTGATCAAGAGTTAGCCCGTTACATTGCAGCTGGTCGCCTGCATGCCAAAGTTGACCGTGTAGGTGGAATTGTCGAAACTAATCGCCCGGATAGTAAGAATTGGCAATACCAAGCAACTATTAAACAGGGAGACTTACTGCTTAACCGTATACAAAAACTTAGCCGTGTTATTAATATATAAAATCATTGTTAATTTAATAAAACACATATACCCCGAAATTACAAAATTTTATTTATATGAAATTAATTTAAAACCAAACTTAACAATTAAAAAGAAATAAAAAAAAAAACATTTTTATAACACACACCTCGTGAACTGCTTCATTTTGTTATAAATAAATTTAAATAGTTTGGAAACATATATTAAATATTTTTCATTTTTGTTTTACATACGTATTATTACACTTTTATTATTATACATTTTATGGAATTGTATGTACTTCCTACTGCTATGTTAAACTTACTTTGGAAGCTAGTACTAATCTTTGGAAGCTCTTTGGATTAACCTGACGAGTATTATTCAAGCGTGTTCAACTACTCTAAATTTTTATATAATAAGTTTGAAATATAATTGTCTAGTAATATAAAAAGTATTTATATTTTAATAGTTTCTACCTATTTATTCGATTAAACCAATATATAAACTAAAATAAACCAGAATTATTAAAATCCTTATATATATAATTGCTAGTACAATAATTTTCTACATATAGAAAATGGAAACAATAGTTAGCAGTTTGATATCTCTTCAGATCTGCTTTTTAGCTTAGCTGTACATAAATAACAAAATTTAGAAACGAAAAACATTTAAAAAAGTGAAAGGCTAAATTACAACCTTTTTATAATCTTAAGTCAAAAATTAAAATTTGTGATGAAGCAAATACTTAACTAAATTATAGATTTATAAGACAATAATCAATAAATTATTAAATATACAAATCTAAATAATATATATATATATATATATATATATAATAATTTGGTTCAATTTTGAATAGTTATAAATTCGTTAATAGGGCTTTATTTGGAAGTTCTTCACTGAGTTTCTAGAGCATTATCTTTCGGTTTCCAAATATTTTCATTATTTAAATGTTGCTCCTCATTTGTGGTATTTTCTTTTTTTGTTGTTTCATCATTAACAGAATTTAAAGTTGATCTAACACCACAATCCAACGGCAATGGTAAGTTATCATCATCAGCATCAGTCATTACATGGGCATTGGCTCTGTGATGTATGTGTTCATTGGGGTCATGAATTTTACCTAAATTAAGTATGCTTGATTCTGGTGAATCTGGAGGAGGTAGTAATCCTGCTCCAGTGCGAGCCATTATTGCATGGAAATTGTTTAAATTATTATGATGACGCATGTTTTCAGCTAGTGCCTTCGTTCCATAGTTCATAAGAGCATTCATAACAACTTTATTTCGTTGATAGTCCTTGCGTAGATGTTGTCGTATTTCTGTGTGACAATGCTCATTATTGGTAACAATAATCTCTCCCGTGTCAGTGGTAGTTACACGTGCTTTACAATTAAACTTTCTTGATAAATTGCATTGCCAATATTTTTTATCCTTGCGTACATATTGTATTCCAAAAGTATGTCCATCATGTACTAGCAATGGTTTACCTCTTTGACTCAACATAAATTCCAGTTTGCCTTGAAACCAATGTTCGCCTGGAGCAACTGCATTTAGGATTATTTTAAGAAATTAGCTTATTAAAGGAGCAAACTGTTCAAAGTGGAATTGTGGAATAATGGCAAATATTATGTATATGCGTTTTTGATGAAGGACGATTTACAAACGATTTTTTATTTTCCCTTTATGATAACTATGTATTACGATTATAATGTTTATAAATATAAAATATGATTTATAAACCCGATTAAGTAATATATGTATGGTAAAACAATTTATATATATTTAATTCAAGATCTATTATTTTTGCATGCACAATCTTTAGTAGAAAAAAAGACATGTTTAGTATTACTTTTAAAAGAGTATTTTCAATTATTTTACAATTGAAAATGTTTTTTTGGAGGTTTCCTACATAAATTTTCAAATCTAATGGCTCTTTACACTTTTCACTTTAATTAACTGTTGTTAATTACATTGCGTATAGAAAATATTTGGGTTGAGTTGCAGGCTAGCTGAGTTGAATATCACGAAAAGAAACAATACAAATGCAAAATTTATGAACAATAAATATAATTAGGGTAGGATATACATAGTAAAGTGAAAAGATTGAGTATGTTGCAACTAAATTATATGGCTGATTAAATCACTTTAGTTAATAAAGTTAAGATATTTGAAAATATACTACAAAAACTTCTTACTTGACTGATTAAATTCGAACAAATTTTTAACTAACTCCATAAAATCTAAATTAAATACGATAACAGCCTCCAGAGATATGTTATAAGATGACATTTAACATATTTTATAAGGAAATTCAACATACTTTAATACGGAGAGTTGATACTGTAATAAAATTACAAGTAGTAATAATATTTAATGAAACTTTCATCTGCTCATCTTAGTTGTAAGTATTTCACTTTTTTAAGTAAAATTTTAATTATTATGAAAAACAATTCAATTTATTATAATTAATTTTAAATTAAATTCTATCATTTTTCTAGTCATTGCAATTGTAACTTTTTTTTGACTAAAACACAATATATTTATAATCATGTCTTAGTCATATCTATAGTGACATATTAACCACATTTAAGAAGGTTATTCAAATTTTTTAATATGTTAAATATGTCATTATAATTTTTGTTTTGTTCTAAACTAAAATATTTTTTTTAACATCCCGCTTTGTATAAATACATTTTTTTATAAACAGTACATATATTAATTTTTTATTCATATATTAATATTAGATTGATATTATTTACTTATTTAATTAATTCTTAATAGACTTACCATTAAATATGTAAATGTTAATATTTACTTAATGCATGCTTATTGATATCAAATTCTGCATTATAATGATTATAATAAAGGGTTATAATTATTTACTTACCGGCTTAATTACATCAAATAAAATATTTTTTTTTTATTTTTTGTTAAAGTACTATAAATTTTTAACTCATGTCTTATATATAAATTTTGATTATATAAAAATTAAATATATTCTGACATAATCTTCTATCGTTCCCAATTTTATAACATTAATGGAAGAGATCTCTGATTATTAGAAATGGAATTTAGTAAAGACAAATAAATGCTTCTAAATTTAAAAGATATATGTGTATTTTTAAATATATTAGACTTTGATGTATATTTTATCATAGTTTAAATGACATCAGCTCTAGCTGAAACAATCGAAATTGCAAGGTATGAATCAATACTAATATTGCTCAAGAAATAAATAAATTGTTATTTATTATATATAGATAGATATTAATATTTCGAGTTTTCGAGAAAATTTGAAGACACCATAAAATATAATAAAAAACTGAGTAATTACTTTAACCCTATTGCAGTCAGTTCACTTGAATAAACATGAAAATATAAGACTAAAAAGGAACTACATATACTTTAACCGTTTAACTTAAATGCAATTTAAAAACTTTTCCTATATATTTTATTCTTAAACAGTTTTCTTAACTTTAAAAAATTGTTCACAAATGAAAACAAAAAGTTATCTTCCAATTAAAACAATAAATTTACAATTTATAGAATAGATATGCTCACTATACCAGTTCTTATATTGGTTATAATTGTATTAATTAAATGGATTTCTTTATAAATTCTAACCAAATGGAATAAAAACATGTATGTATTGTTGAAAAAAGTTTTAAAAAAATCTATATGCCTACCATATTTATTCTTTATCCGTTCGATCTATACTTTTAACAAACATTTACAAATTAATTTGACAATTTTTAAAAAAAGTTCGGTAAATATTTGGCAATATAACTCCGGCTGAATAATAACCAGAACTTAGGTACGAATTTGGAGCGGATATTGGGACCATCACATCTTTTGTACTCTAATTGTCTTTAGTTATCTAACTCCTAATTTATAGAAATTATATATATTATGTATTATAATATATAATATATATTATTATTAATTAATATACATAGTAATATATATATATATTATTATTAATAATAATATTGCATATATTTATATTTGTAATAGCAAGTATTTTAATCTAAAATCAAATCTAAAATAATTAAAAATATATAAAATTTTTGAAAACAGTGAAAATTGTATTTGAAGCAATTGAAAACGTATTTTTTTTCATTTGGGACAATTATTTCCTTATCTTAATAAATTAAATATATATAGGTTCTTTTTTTGTAACATTTTTTAGTACTCTGCAAATTTCAAAAGGAAAATCTTCTTTTGCAGATTAAATGTCTTCCATTTTAAAATTATGGGTATGACCCGGAGATATTGTAATTGAATCTATTACGTGTGCATGATGATGTCCATCATTTGCTCTGGAGTTAGAACTTAAGTTCGCATTAGAGCTTAACTCACTTGGTGATAAAGCAGCATTATGTACCATTATGTGCCGGTCGCTCATATGAGGAGCATCATCGTTCATATTGTTTTGAGCTGGAGATTTTAATGTAATTGGTGAATCAATAGAATTACCGCCATGTAGTGACTGATTACTACGATTAGATGGGCTTTGCATATTAGCTGGAGACGACTGAACAATAGGCGTTAATTCTAAATTGGACTGAGGTTGCGTTGAATGTTCACTAAGATGTGGCGAATTCTGTGGATTTCCATGACTCGTCAAAAGTGACGGCATACTGGAGAGAGGTGGCATGATGTTAGCATTATGCATCATATTTTGTATGACACTATTTTGCGTTTGTAGCGCCTGTGAACCATTACTACCAAGGCTGTGTGAATGATGACTACCACTTGAATGGTGTTGTATCAATAAATTTGGTAACGTTTGAGATAAATGATGTGCATGACTGCTAGGTGGCATTATATTTCCGCTTGGTGGTGGAGGTAATAACTCATGTGAACTGCTATGTAAGTTATGTTGTTGGAACATGTTGCTGCCGCCTGAAGGATGGGGTAAACGTAAATTATTTGAGGAGTTCATAATATTTTGATTACAACCTTGCATTTGGGTAGGAGTTACATTCGTGTTGGTCATGTTCGATGCCGAGGTATTAGTAGTTTGCGGATTAAGCTGTGAGTTTTCTCCACTGTAACCAGTACTCGAATTGTTAGCAGATGGTGCCATTGCTCCTCCACGCATATGAGGTGGATGATTGTGAACACCGGTTGCCGATATAACACGTCCTTGATGTGTTATACAACGGGCGCGGCACATACTGATTCGATATGACTTACAGAGCCAATAAGTCTTCATGCCTTGTTGTGTAGCCACTGTATTATTTCTATTAAATACACAATTCCCATGAAGCAATGAAGTAGATGACAACATAACTACATTGCTGCTGTCTGTAGAGTGTAATAAACAGAATCCGTGGCAACATCATAAGTATGTCAGCATATTAAATATACATAATTATATATTAAACGTTAGAATTGATTGATTTACTGAATACTGTATACTGTATACTGTGCTGGTTATTGTGCATTAGGTGCGTTGGAAATTATAGTTATAGTTATTTACATAAAGTAGTCATATAAACAGTATGTATATATTTACATATAATGTTTTTAAACAGCATAGATATATGTTTATTATATTTATATTTATATATAAGCAAAATATATTGCCCATATATGTATATACACATATGATATGCTATTCTCGTTAAAATAATATGTTAAGAAATTATAGATATTAAAAAAGAAAGCAAAGAAATAGGAAAAAAAATTATTATTATATAATATATTTAATTATTTTAGCTATATGTGCATTAAATTGTCAAACGGATGAGAAGAACATCCTGCCGCAAAACAGAATTCATTCTTCAGTTACTATAATTTTGGTTTATAAATAAAACTTTCAACTAAAATAATGTGTGTGTATGTGTTAAATAAAAGTCAAATAACCCTTGGTTAGTTTTTCCATTTAAAAATATATGTTATGGATTTTTAATTAGCTTTTGATTTAGTATAGCAAGAAAATAAATTTGTTAGATGCAGGTGAATGTAAAACTGATGAGTAAATGACCAATAAAATATATCAAAACAATGCATAAAAGATAAAAAAAAATCAACAAAAAATCAAATTTCTAATGATTAATAAAGATTCTAAACGTACTTGGCGGAATGTCCATATGATTCCCAAAATTCTTTGAATAGTCATTAGCCATGTGCAATTCATTCGGGTACTCCTGACCACTATTCGAGCCACCATTATTTTTGAACATATAATCAAAATTGAAACCTGTGCCACCTAACGAATTCCGTAACGACGCACCCGGTCCATGATGATCTCCGTCCCGCTTAAGACTGTTTATATCAAATTTTGATTCAACCATTGATATATGAGGTATGTTCTGCAAAAAGAAATCATCTGCATTAACTTGGTCCATGCCTGTATCGGAGCTATCATTAGGTTCGCTGTTATGCATAGAAGAAACCGATCGCCTATATTTGTTTCGCGAGTAAATCGAAAGTGCGTCGGAATTAAAATCTATGTGACGTTTTATACTATTGCTGCTGCCAGTGCCATGGTACGAGTGATGTAACGGAGTATCATTAGAATTTTTGTAATTTGGTTGCGTTAATGGTGATGCAAAAGTAATAGGTGATGGAGAAGGTGTGGCCGGAGAATGTGGTCTATGCGCTGTTAAATTATTTGGTGTGGATGATTTGCCGCTGTTGGAGTTTTCAGTGTTACTAACATTCGATTCAGTGTTGTTACTTCTGTTATTGTTGTTATTGTTACTAGATGCATTATTACAGTTATTATTTGTTTCTTCTGGGTTGTTCGTTTGACTAGTAGACTTTTCTGATGTAGTTGACGCTGCTGATGAGGTCGAATTCGTGGCAAGTCCTTTAATTTGCAAAAGCTGCCCAATTTTCATGAATGATTGAAGCTCCGTATGCTTAACATTAACGACACCTTGGTACATGAACTCTAATAGTTCACACATGATGTTGAAAGTGACATCTTTTAAAATAACTAAAAAAATAGAATTTTTTTAGTAAGTTATAAATTTATTAAGTTTAATTTTATTGCATTATTGCATTAAATAATGAATTTAACTAAAAAAATTAATAAAATGTTTTGTTTGGCTTTGTTGAGTTACCATTTACCTAGTTATTAACAAAACTTATGTAACTCGGTATATATGAATATAAAAATATAAAAAAAATGGAATCTGTATGGAATGTGTAAGAGCCACATCCCTTACTAAACAGAAACAACAAAATCTATAACGAGACAAGCAAGCACCTTTGTTATTTTACGTAGCATTCTATGCCGTATTGGCCTAATACTACGGTATTCAAAAATACACGTATTAAAATAAAGCGTTAATCAACGCCCCATTGGAATAGCCTTCCTTATTCCGCCGGTACCAATGAAGAAATTCATGTAAGTCATAACTTCCATCTTGGTAAGATGCGTAGCCCACCTTAAACCTCTGCTACAATTTGGGCTGTAGCACCCGAAATCCAATACCAAAATCATTCTTACGGCGTAAGTTTGGGTATTAACCGACAGCCACTACGAAACCAACACCAATGGTCAGAACAGCCGAAGCTGCTGGCCACTGACCCCCGTAGTACCAGATCGGTTCATCTCTGGTCAGATGTCGCGAGTGCGGATCTAACTCACTACCATTTGCACTTCCTACATAAGTGCCAGTCTGGCCAGACTGGGGGATTTTAGTCACCTCTTATGACAGGCAATCCTAACCGCGGGAGTATTCTTTTCCCCTCTCCGCAGGGAACTCTAACGAGACAGTCCCATTTTATTGATATGATAGCGCACACCGGTGTCGTGCTACATAAATATATGTATATCAAATTGAAAATAAAAGCCGGTACAGGAAGCTGACATAGTGAAAGCAAATCCTATATATTCATAGCTTTTATAGATGACTTGGCACAGGACAGCTTGTTTGGGATTAAAATACTTGAAGTAGCTTATAAATTTCGACCAAAAAAGTTGAATGGCAGATTTATTTTATAAATTATATATTAACATTTATGTAAATAATACTATTCAGTGGGCAAATGTAGTGCCGTCGGTTATTTTATTTATTTTTTAAATTTATTATGATGATTTAATTATTGAGATTAATTATGGTTTATTTGATTTTGTTTATTTACTTATTTTTAGATTTAGTTTATATCAATTTTGCGGATGTGATATGATTATTATCATTTATTATTAATTTAGGCAATATTTTTGAAAAATAAAGGTTATCATGAGAATTAAGTAATTTTTCTGTACATTTAAGTATTTATTATATTTTTCTATTAAAAGTACAAAGATTGGTATTTATGTATTTAGTTTTAATTTTTAAGGCAATTATGAGATTATAATAGAGAAGCAGTTTCCATATGTATTGTTTAATCAAAATAAACCTATAATTTATATGTAACACATTTTTGGTACATAAATAGACAAGGATATGGTAAATATTTTGATGCATGTCAAAAGGCAAACGACACTCAGGAACACCTCTAACGGATGATAGCTTTACGGCAGGACTGTTTACAGACAGAACAGGTATTAGTGGCATTATTTTCTGCTTATATACGTGTAAATCCTAAGCCGTTTTAACTACTATAAGATATTAAAGTCAAACACTCTGTTCTGTCACTTCTTACTTACATTTAAAATTGATCTATACATAATTAACCTTATTTCATAGATTCGTAAATAAGAAAATATCATTTCTTGAGTTTATCATAGCTATTGCATATACTACTATAACTACTATAAGATATTTAAGTCAAACACTCTGTTCTGTCACTTCCTACTTACATTTAAAATTGATCTATAGATTCGTAAATAAGAAAATATCATTTCTTGAGTTTATCATAGCTATTGCATATATAAAAACAATGATAATTACGTAGAAATCGGATAAAAAAATGGTAAAGATACTGTTTAGACTCTTAAAACTTACAATGCAGTTATTTCATCAAAAGAAAGCGGTAGGAAAGTAGGAAAGAATCTAGATACTATTCTCGTAATATCGAAATCAAAAATGAACGATAGGTTGGTAAATTATACTTTAACATTGATGGAAAGTATCATACAATAACACACAACTTTGAAGTAAACTTAAAAATCATATACCGGAGGTACAATGAACAATTAAATCTTTATATGATTCACAATTTGTAATAATAATAAAATTTAATTGGGAATATATTCATATTTTAACCACTGCTTAAATATCATGAAATATTATTATTTATTATTTTATTCCATTCTCAATTAGAAACGATTTGCCAGTTTCAGTATTAATTGTTCTTCGCCAAATTATTGTTGGCCTGCCTCTACGCCAGGTCACCTGGGGATTCCATGTTAGAACAGCGTGCGGAATATCGTCATAAGGCTTATGCAGAGTATGGCGTATCCACCCATATTTTCGCTTTTGAATTTCAGTAATAATAGACGTTTAATTAGTTTGCCTCCAGACTTTTTTATTTGATATCGTTCTTGGCCACCATATCTTCATTATGTTTCGCAAGCAGCGGTTGATGAAAGTTTTATATAGTTCAAGAAAAGATCATCAATAAAAAATAACTTTTTACTCCTTAAACTTTACTTTATATATTTATATAAATAATAGAATCTTCGTTAGTTTCACATTAAGTAAAAATCAACATATATTTAGTTGATTATGCTAATTTTCCTGTTGAAAAACAGGATAATCACCCGTTTTTACAAACTTCACATTATTGTGAATAAAGATATATTATGCTCTTCTAAATATTGGCAACAAGGTTTAGATGATAAATTGTACCAGTTTATAGATAAATAAATTGATTAAATAAATGAAATTTTCTACAATATACTTTTGAATCCAAAGAAATAAAGATTGAATGTGAATAGTATTGTCGAATATTATTAGCTGCCTCTATATTAGCATTACCATTGAGATATTTCTTTCAGTTTTGGAAAACTTTATACCCTTTACCCTGTCGAAGAACGAAATGATAATTTGAAACGTTTTATATTAGGTTGGAAAAAGGCCAAAAGTGTGAATGTTATAGTTGATAAGATGTTAAGATATTGGTACTGCAACGGCAATATTGAGATATTCAATTAGTTTCTTACCTATATTTGCATGGATTCACTACAATTTTATGAGCAAAGTTGTATTTGATAAAAAATAAATAAATAAAAACTTAAACAGTGGTATGATTCGTTCTATTGATCAAGAACATATATAGTTTATATAGCGTCTAAGTATTTTTTCACCCCTTTACAAACATTTTGATGAACTTCATTTCCACTCAAGTAAATGGTATTAAAAAAACTGATATGTTTTATATACATATACAAAATCAATAGAATTTTTTATTTATTTTTAAAACTAAATAACAAAATATAATTCAATAATAGCTCGAAACCTTAATTACAAACTTAACCCCTTATTAAAAATATTATTTATTACATGCTTAAATATATCTGTGTTATACATTATAAATCTCAAACTATGGTATATGTAAGTGATACAATTTTAAATTTATATTGAAAAAAAAGAGGTCACAAATATTGTGGAGATGTTATCAAATTTTGTACAAATACTAAATCAATACATAAAAAATTTCGATAAGAATTCAAATCTTAAAAACAACAGCAAGTATATCGCATCTCTACTGCTTATTATAGCTAAACAGCATCAACATCTACTTAAAAACAATATTATCTCTTGTTCTGAATAATCAGAACGCATGTCCGTCTGCCTAAGTACGTTCGTTTGTGTGTACATGTGATTGGAATATAGAAAAAAGATGTACTTATGTACATATCATCAGTTGTCAGTTCTATCGACTTATGGCTGGCTACACATGCACGAGTTTGAATTCCGAATTCCTTGTTCTCGATACTGTACAGATACTGTAAACTATAGGTTAAGATTATGAAACTATAATCGTGCAAAGCAAATATACGGAGATAAATATTTACTTATAAATAGTTTAATGTATGTATTTCATAAGTGTATTTTATTTCGTTTCACTTTAATCTGAATCGGAGAAGAGATATTTATTGTACATTTACTGAACTCAGCCGTAATAACCATTTAACAAATACAAATATGCATATTGGATTGCTAGCTTTTCAATAATCCATATTTCAAGATAAACTTTGACAAGAGTTCATTGAAAATGCGATAAATCCTTGTAGATAATAGTATTTGTCTCGAAAATATGATACAATTTCAATATGAAATAAAAATATTTTTATTTATTTCAATTTGGGTACATTCTTATAAACTTCAAAAATTATATTATTATATTATTCATTTAATTGAATACAATACAAAAAATTACTGGAAGCACCAATTCCATATTATTTACATTAATAAATAATTCTAAACAATAAATTACAATATAAGTAATAAATACGAGTATATTATATACAAATGTATTGTATATTAAGTAGAAATTAACTGCCATTACCTTTTCATTTCTCATTTTATATGGTTGAAATGCATTCAGTTTCAAAAATGCTTAATTATACATTGTGACCGAAAGGTTTCCGGAAATTTTAAATAAAACGCAAAATTCTTAATCTTCATCAATATTTATTTTATCTCCTTCAAAATATGCTCCATTAGAAGCGATACACAAATGCCAACGTTTCTTCCAATCATCAAAACATTTTTTATAGGCGCTTTCCGGTATGGCTTTGAGTTCCCTCTGCGAATTCTGTTTTACGTCTTCTATGGATTCAAAACGCGTTCCTCTGAGTGGTAATTTGAGGTTGGGAAACAGGAAAAAGTCACACGGTGCAAGATCAGGTGAATACGGTGGCTGTTCGATGGTATTTATTGAATGTTTGGCCTTAAAATCGTTGATAATGTTGAACAAATTGAGGTGAATCGGAACAAGCCGGGCGTTGACACGTCGCATACACAAATTGTCCACCAAAATCAAACGAGCCATCTCACGACCGATGCCTAGCTCTCGTGCTATCTCTCTAACACTCAC